GGACGGAAGGAGACACATTGTAAACTTTGTATTGGCCATGCCTTTGTCATAATAGAGGAAGAGGAAACTGGAGTAAGAGAACAGAGTTTAGAATTTGTTTATCAAAATATTGTATAAATTTTATCCAGAGAATTTAAACCACTTCTCAAATCCAACCTCAATTTTTAAAGTCTATGTAACTTATCAGAATTTGTGCTGCAAACTTGCTTCTTTGAATTATCTCTCACAATGCTCAGAAGATCATAGTTAGGAAGACGTCTCTGAAAGAATCAAACATCTGGGAAATGAAAATTTTCAACCCCCCTTCAAATTTTGCATGCAGTTCAGCACTCAGGGGGGATGCACAAGAATGCCCTTTTTTAAGGTTGCAGCACTCTTGTTGCCATGGTAATAACTGCTGTTTGTTGAAGGCCGGGGGCCTCATTTTCATACAAAAATGTCTCAAAAAAAGAATGAAATGTTTAGTCTCTATCTCAAGCTAAATACAACATTACAAATTGGCACTTCCAGGGTTGTCAATAAGCGCCGGCGACCGGCGATATCGCCGGCTACTTGAACGTTTTCGCCGGCTGCAAATTGGTCGAGATAAGCGGGAAAAAAGCGGTCATTATCAAAACACTTTTAAAAAAAAATTAGAAACAAAAAACAAAAATTGGTTTGTTTCACTCATTATTTCAATGTATTTGCAATGCGCGATTCACAACAGAAGTTTTGGCTCGTTTAGTCTCGTGTGCTGCATGATTTGCGAGTGAACAGATCAGGTTTGTTTACTTTACATTGTCGCCTTTTGTTTTAAAATTTGCATATGTCTACGCTATCTATATGTACTTTGTCATTCTGGTATAAGTTAGCGGTGTCAATTTTCGATTGAACCTATCTGATTTTCTCAAATGTAAATTAAGTTTTGAAAGACGGCAATTGACCGTAATTACCCGTAAAGTTTTAATCTTCACTAGTTCAAGGTGATGTCCATTCATTTACAAAAAAATTAACACAACGAAAAATATAAAAAATTGTCTGTCGACCCTAGTTAATTTGTGATAATCGATGACAGATTATAGGAAATCAGATTATTTGAAACATAAACGTTTATACTGAAACTAAAGGTTAATAGAAGTCAAAGCTACTTGAGAATAAATTAATAAAACAAATGAATAGTCATCAACAGTACTGTTCTTTTCAGGAAGTGAAGCTTGTTAGAATTTCTGTGAGGAAAGGCAATTTTTGGCAGTGTCAAAACGTCAAATTCATTTTGCTTCCGGGGGCTTAGCCCCCTGGACCCCCAACGGGGCTTTCCCCCTGTACCCCGCTGGGGGTCTCGGCGGCCCCCAGACCCCTCGCCTCTGTGGGGACCTTCGGCCCCCAGAGGCATTTACTTTCCTAATATCTCCGCCTACTTGAATTCTTATTGACAACCCTGCACTTCTACCATACATAGTGACATCATTCGTCTTCTCTTTGATTCATTCAATTTTCCCTGGGAGTGAATGCGAACACACCAATAGATTATTCATCTCGGTACAGTTTCAGTGATTTTTGTCGTAGGGTAAAACAGGGAAAACGTTTATCTGAATTTCTCCAAAAGTACACCAATTCTGGAACTGAAACTACCTACCTAGTTGGTTATAATATTCTTGCTTTTAATTATACAAAAATCTTTCCATAGGGGCAATTCGCGTACTAACTCAAATATCAGATATTAAAACAATTACCAATTTTGAGTTAGTTCGCGAATTGCCCCTATGGAAAGGAAAGGCCGGCCCGCAAATATTTGAAGGGGGGTTGAAAATGTTCATTTCCCAAGATGTTTGATTCTTACAGAGACTTGTTCTTAAGTTCTCTATAGAGGTGTCCTCTTGGACATCTTAGAAATCATTTTCTAGATGTGTTTGAAGTTTTTCTTTGGCTGTATTTTTGTAGTTTATAGTGCAAAAGAGTGTCACCACGGAAATATCACTCATTATTCAAGATCCAGATGACAAAACAGTATTTGGCTATATGCACGGTCTACGTTCCTTCTTAAGACCCACATTTGGTGCTTTTAAGTCCGAAGAAGTAAGTGAAACCAAAGAGGCCTTGTGATAGTTTAGCTGAATTATAAGGAATTCATATTGCCTGTTTATTTATGGACGAGTTAAGACTGGGAATATTGTCTTCTTTAAAGAAAAACGATATGCAAGACCAGGCTTTGGAACTCATGGGGGTTCTTTCATCGGAACCAATAAAGATTGCTCAGTTATATAGGGCTAAGGTAGAAAGAGCTCAGGTTGTCAAAGCAAATGGATCTGCTCCAAGGATTGCAGAAGGGTAGCTTATATAGTCTTAGAATGGAGTCATGTTTGACAGACAACCACTTGGAAATAAGTTTGATTTGATCCCTTGGCGCGGTTCTGTCTTTACGGTAGCTAGTATCAATCTGTTTGGTACTCAGGTTGCGGTAAAATCGCAAAAAATTTCCTTTTCACCGTAGTGGTGAAGGTTTTAAACTTTAAGAAAAAAATGCTGTGGACCGACCAGAATACCTACAGACACTGTAATTTCAGAAGTATAAAGATAATTTTTTGTGATGTCATTACATTTGAGCCCCAAAAAGTTATCTTCCTTTGCCAAAGTTCTACCGAAGGAAAGGTATTCCATGTGATATCCAAATCAGACAGATCTATTTCAGCAAACGCATAAACATTTGAGAATGAAAGGTTCGTACGTTCTTAGTTACACATTTCTCTTTGATGATTGAGGATGATTACAAGGGTAAACTAGTGCAAACGTATCGGCCATTTTTGAAAATGACGTTACTAGCCAATTTTTTTTTTTTGCAGTTTTACCCCTCGTCTCAGAGGTAAATTTTTTTCTTCAGACAAACACCTTTCATTTATAATACAGATTACAGCTTCAAGACTCGCAAGTGTATGTCTTGATGAGTTGCGAGCTTTTGATATATTAACCTTGAGGGAATAAAACCTTGAGGGAATATACAGGACTTACAAATAATATCATGGGAGAGATGGCCGGATCATTAGATGGTATGTACTCGGACCTGCACCACTTTCGGATGAGTTCTCCTTTAGCCGTTTAGGAAGTTAAACTGTATGACTAAAACATACAAATACAGAAGCAAAACCGGGAAAGCCAAAAAAGCTATTCCATAAGACTTCCAAATTTTCATGTTTTTTTTTTTAATTCAAAACATTATATATATTCGGGTCCCGATCTTGATTCATGATCCCATTAATTTTCTTAATTTGGATCTTTGCACCTTTTACAAGGAAATAGAGGCCTCTTTCAGAATTTGACACATCTCCTGGTACCACCGCAAGAGAAAGAAAGGAAAGAGGCCAACCTCTCAATGGTAAAAGAGAACAGAAGTAGACGAACTTCCAGATCCATGCGAGCTTCACGTCAAACGAGAGAGCAAGAGCTTGTTAACTGGTCGGAAAAAACGGACGAGATGACACAGCAATTTCCAAACTTCCAAAACCAGTTGCAGCGAAAAGATAATAAGGGCTCAACATTGGAGAGAAAGCTTCAGCAGTTACAGAATGAAGTTTCTATCTTACGGAGACAGCAAGTGGAACAATGCCTAGAATTAGATGAGGTGCGTCGTCAAAAAGCAAGTGTTGAAACACAAGTAAGGCAAATGGAACAACAACAGCTCCGGGAAAGAGACCAAGTTGAAGCCCAAAACCAGCGATTGAGAGAGATGGAACGACAACTGGCGCAAAGAGGGGAGAGTTCCTATGATTGGATTATCAGCCGTAATGAAGTTCAAGTGACTAATAAGCGCCTTGGGTCTGGAGGTTGGGGAACGGTTTATGAGGGCAGATACTGTGGTTGTGATGTTGCCGTGAAACAAATCCACGAAGACTTTGCATCAGCTCATAGACTTAAAATGTTTCAGCGTGAAATTGACATGGCTTCAAAATGCCGCCACCCATGTTTGCTACAATTTATTGGAGCAACTATTGACGAGGGATTTCCTCTCCTGGTGACAGAGCTAATGGAAACAAGTCTACGGCGACTTTTGAAGGAAAGACCTCTTTCCACTGGAGAAGTCTCCATAATTTCGCTGGATGTGGCTCGGGCACTGAATTATCTTCACCAAAAACGACCTGTACCGATGATTCATCGCGACATCAGCAG